ACTTGAAAGCACTTCTAGCTGTACCAGATTTATATGCTACACTTGAAAGCACTTCTAGCTGTACCAGATTTATATGCTACACTTGAAAGCACTTTAACTGTACCAGATTTATAGGCTACACTTGAAAGCACTTTAACTGTACCAGATTTATAGGCTACACTTGAAAGCACTTTAACTGTACCAGATTTATAGGCTACACTTGAAAGCACTTCTAGCTGTACCAGATTTATAGGCTACACTTGAAAGCACTTCTAGCTGTACCAGATTTATAGGCTACACTTGAAAGCACTTCTAGCTGTACCAGATTTATAGGCTATACTTGAAAGCACTTCTAGCTGTACCAGATTTATAGGCTATACTTGAAAGCACTTCTAGCTGTACCAGATTTGTAGGCTATACTTGAAAGCACTTTAACTGTACCAGATTTATATTCTACACTTGAAAACACTTCTATCTGTACCAGATTTATAGGCTATACTTGAAAGCACTTTAACTGTACCAGATTTATAGGCTACACTTGAAAGCACTTCTAGCTGTACCAGATTTATAGGCTATACTTGAAAACACTTCTAACTGTACCAGATTTATAGGCTATACTTGAAAGCACTTCTAGCTGTACCAGATTTATAGGCTATACTTGAAAGCACTTCTAACTGTGCCAGGTTTGTAGGCTATACTTGAAAACACTTCTAACTGTACCAGGTTTGTAGGCTATACTTGAAAACACTTCTAACTGTACCAGATTTCTTATCATTGTTTTAGAAAATGTGATGACAAGAATACATTTCCAGGTCTTTGTGTTAAGGTAGCACTGACCCTTAAAACTGGACAAAGATACATTTTGAGAAAACACTTCTTATAACCTTCAAGTTGAGCACAAAACCGAAGTATAATGTTACAATCTCTGAAAGTACACTTACAGTAATATGTATTATTTATGTGGCAGGGATAAATAAAGACAAACTATTTTAACGCTATAACTTTACTTAGGAATGATAAATATCGATACACAAATGCTCTTTGTGAACATCCTCATAGTTTGAATTAAAAACTTTATAAATTTTCTGCAATGTTGACGAGAACATTGTTTAAATCTTTATTGATAACCAAGCCATCTCATAAACACCAGATATGGATCTTTTTGTATTATCTCTTAAAGAATTCCTTACTGTTAATTTTTACATTTTTAGCCAAACTTGTTTTTTACATGTACTCTATTTAATTGTAAGTTTTTTGGTTGACCAACTTTCTTGATCTTCTGTAATCCTCCAAGTTTCCCATCAGAGCAATAAATTTAAACTTCTTAAATATACAACACTTTAATGTTATCCTTTACACCCATCCTTTTGTTCAAGGAACATATCTATTGTGAATAATTAAACATTTATCAAGTTGAGTATTTGTAAGATGTTCCAAAAAGAGATGGAAGTATTGGGGCTCATCTTAAACTTGTCTCTTTATTTTAATGATTGACCTAAAGGTTCCAGTTCTGTATCCAACAGAACTGTCTTTATTTTAATGATTGACCTAAAGGTTGAGATCTGTATCCAACAGAACTGTCTTTATTTTAATGATTGACCTAAAGGTTGAGATCTGTATCCAACAGAACTGTCTTTATTTTAATGATTGACCTAAAGGTTGAGATCTGT